ACCCATATTTTCCACTTATCAAGGTCTGGGTGACCCAGAGACAGCATTCCTTCCTCCACCTTCAACAGTATTTAGGTTACTAATGCTGGGTCAGACAATTTCCACCCAGTTATCCAGAACCTAGAACTGACATTCCTTGGACATCCCAGCTGGGATAACAGCAATATATTAAACTGCACTCAGGAATGTTCCCAGGCACTGGAAGACAACCGTCAGTTCTGCTAAGTTGTTTGAGCAGCCCCAGCACGTTTTTGGCCCGTGCAAACTCGCACTCCTCTGGAGCATTCCCGGGCAATGCTCAGGAGCCAGAGCGCTCCGGCAGCCACCCCAAGCAGCTTGCCTGCAGCCACCCTCCCTTGCCAGGACAAAGGGCTGCCCAAACAGCTCACGGCTGTTTCGTGCCAGAGACTGTTCCCAGGTATGTTCAATTTGCTAGTATAGACAGAGCCTTTGAGACTTTCCCAGGTCAGGGCTGATCACCCAGGTATGCTTGATGGAGCCATACTCAACGCTAATGAGCTGATTCCTTTCTAATAATTCAAGGCATTTAGTACTGATACCATGAATGGAGCCAATGCCTTGCAGGTGTCTAATTTACAGATTATCAGCTGTTTTAAATCTAAATGTAATTATCCATTTTAAATCCTCACCATAAATATCAGACCTCCGGTATGAGAAGTCTTCCACACTCATAGCCAAGTGAAGGAGTTTGAATCCATGACCAAAGTCCTCCATTAAGTAACCTGATGCCCTAAAACGACACTGGTGAGTCACTCTACAGCAGTCTGTTCAGGCCCAGTGCTGCTGTAAGCATCCCAGGCCCTGGTGAAATTGAAATAAGAAAAAAGAACCCAGGTTACGAGCACTGTAGCCGATTCAACCTTATCCTGCCCTGTTGGAAGGCTGATTTTTTCCAGTATCCTTCATATTTCAAGATTCTCTGAGATAAGTGTCCCACTCCCTCAGCTATCACTGATTGTACACACCTAAACACAGGTTAACTGAGCAGTGCCAAGGCCTGAAAGTCACTTCATACTGTAGCCCTGACTCTTTTCGGCAAATAAACACCCCGAAGAAACCTGTGACTTTCTGCAGGCAGCTGCAGAAATTTTAACAGAGGTAGATGAGAAGATTTCAGAAAACTTAATTCTTGCAGAAAGCAGCACTTGCTGCTACTGCCTTGCTTTTCTCTCTCTGCTAAACAAGCACTACAATTTCTTTTCCAGGGCCAGGAACCCCGTTCCACAACTCACACTGTGCAGGCTACCGATGGCAACTGAAGCCATCAGCATCCTTGCTGCACTGTGCTGTGACCCGTGGACACCTCCTTCTCTTTTACTTCCTCCTCCAGAGCTGTACAGGCAAAGGGATGAGATGTTAGGCAGTGAAATAACTCAAGCATGGAAGAAAGGCCGGGCTCCTTTGCTCCAAAGCAATGGATGCACACTTGAGGAAAATCCTCTTCTAAGCAGGACAGCAGGTCAGTACTCAGCAGACCCGAGCAACTGAACCTCCAGGATGTGTACATGAATGACACTCCATGATGTTATTTTAGACCTGGACAGTGGTCAGCAACACCCTAAGGCCAGAGAGGTGCTAAGCCAATGCAGAAAAACCAACAGCATTAAAAAAAACCCAAAGAAACAATCAAAAAAAAAACACCCCAACCACCCTGTATACCCATAAAAATGCAAGCAAGCTGAAAAGATCAAAGAGTTTGGCTATATGTGTGCATTATATAGAACAACTGGAATCTTTTACACACAGCCAGCATTTTTTTGCATTGAGAATAATTAGGAAGGATTCGAGATGCCTAATTCCGCTTCCAAGTCGTATCAGGCACTAGCTAAACTGTACAGCAAGCACCAACAAACTTGCATTTCCTGTTCTTAAATGTTTTGAGGCCCTGCAGTTTTAACTGCTGAACTTTGAGATAGAAATCATAGTAAAAGCAGCAGAACAGAACAAAGGGAAGGGAAGTGCAGCTGAAGCAGAAGCTTAAACCAAAGTAGTAAACTGCATGTTGTCGAAGCGCTTTTATTAAGAGGACATGAAAAGGACATTATAAGGGATTCAAAGCATTTGGGGGTGGGGAGGAAGGTGAGGAAGCAACAACACTTGAAATAAATGTTCCACGGAGAGAAAATCTCTAATAATTTATTGACCTTCAGTTTCACATTGTGAAAAAAAATGCAAGTTTTACAAAACCTTAAGATGTAGTAGCAAACAAAAAGACACAACATAGACAATTTTACTTCTTCACTTGCACTTTTTTTTTTTTAAGGACATGAACCACATCTTCAATAGCCAGGAAAGGGAACATTATTCTGCTCTAATCACTCTTATTCAGGCAGGTGTCAGACCTAGAGAAAAGGGGCTGCACAATTATACCAGAAGAGGAAGGCTGTCCTTTGTTGTATGTTTCTACAGCAACCAGCACGCAAAATAAGAGGAACCTTCCCATCTTATGCCAGGGTTTTTGTGTGCACTCTGCTGCGAACTGCGTTTGCTTCAAAGTGTGGGGTGTTTTGCAGGACTGGAATGGTCAAGTAGCTAGTCAGGATTCCCACATCAATTCAAAGAGCAAGAGCCTAGCATATTCCCTGCAGAGCCAGAGGCCCACCCTGACTTCAGCTTCCTTCAGCCTACACACAGCAATAAATTGCGGACTTGAAAACAGACCACAACTTTGGGAGCAGCTGCAGAAAATTCATCCCAGTTTCGGAAGCTGCATGGCACTACAAAACCGATTTCACAGGCTACGTAGTTAGATGCAGTGCAGCTTCACATCTGGACAACGATCAGCTTGACGGAGAAAAAGGGTCTCAAACCTATATGCCCTTATTCAAAGAAGTGGGCCCCTGGGGACCCAGTTCTTTGCTTCCTCATACCTTGTGCAGTCACTTATGCCTGGGGAGAGGACATGCAAAACGCAGGAAGTCTGATTTTATGGCTCCTTCCACACTCCCGGGAGTGATCCACAACGTGAAAGGCAACAGCAATTCAAGGCTGTTTGCTTCAACGGGGCAACCTGTGCAAGTACAGGGGTATAGGAAGGAGACCTATCCTATCTAAGATGTTTTCCTATTGCTTAAAAGCCATCAAAGAGAAAAGAACTAATGCTGGGGGCAGAGAGTAGGGGGGAGGCTGTAGGTTTAAACACTTGCTTAATCTACCATTTCAAGAAATCAGTTTAACCAGAGGAACTATAAAACTGTTCACATCCAGCTGGTCCTCACCCTTTAAAAAACTACTAATGCCTTTGCTAATTCATCAATATTCTCTTCGTATTCACAGAACTCCAAATACTCTATTTCTGAAATGTAAGGGTCTACTCCAAACAGCAAGTCAAATGTAAGGCAGCACAGAGAAACTTCCAGTGATACTTCCAGTAAACACTCAGATGACAGAGCTTTCACAAATACAGCTACATCACTGTCACACAGAGAAAGGCAAGCATCACCAATGTGACTATTTTTGTTTTGCATGCACGCATGCAGCTGTTTACTTATACTGCAGCACACACCAACCATGTTACTGAATGTGCCAGTTAAGTTGGGCTCCAGAAACATTTAGGAATAAACACAATACAATACATGCTTCATGACAGGATCTGGCAAAAAAAGCACCTGTGAAACACAAGCTTCTGAAATCCAGAAGAAAAAGAGTAGCTTCATCTCTGTCTCAAGACCAGACTGATAGGAAACAAATTTATTTAAAAACCAAAGTTTGGTTTCTCAGGATTGTATCTGTCGCTTCTGAGCGACCAAGTGTTTAAAGACACACCTGGCTAAGGAAAATAAAAGGCAGCAGAGTCTGAGGGCTATTTTTTAAGATTAAGAGGTTTGAAATTCTTTTTCTATCCCCATAAGAATTTTGCTAGAGCACTTGGGTCTTTTGACACCTGGTCACTCAGATGATCATCTGAAATCCAGAGGGAGTAGGCAATCCAGTCAGTGCAAAATTGCTGCTCTTTTTTTTTTTTAAGACTTCATCACTAACCTATCTTGAGGTTTTTTTGTTTTTATTTTTTATCACCATACTCCACTCACTCAGGTCAATGTGGCTACATTGTAGGAAACCCTTCTCCAACCCAATAAATAAATAAATAACTTTGGACAACGACTTCATCTGGGCTTGGTATCCAGAAGCTCTTCCACAGTATTTGTGTTGCAATCGGGAAGCTGCACAAAGAGAGAGCTGCAAGAGATTTTGGCTATTTCCAGATTAGAAATTGAAAGGCATGACCAACAAATGAAATGTAGCAAGGACACCATCTACAAGACACACCACATGCAACCTGGGGAGCTGGTGGCCTGAGAAAGTGACCTCCATGGCTTCTTCCTTTAGTACATGTGTAATTTAAGATCCTGCCTTGTAATCCTTCCATTTCCGACCGGGAAGCCACCCCTTCCTCCCACCTCCAACTGTTACCCAACAGTTTTCTTTCTTTGTGCAGCAGAGCAAGTCAGCGATCACAAACTGTGCAAAACATACAACAATTCACACAAGCCCTTGCAACATGAAGACAATTGCAGGCATTGTTTCAGCATGCAAGCACTGAACAATAAATAACTATATCTACAACAAGTAACATAACAGGAATGGGACAGTCTGAATTACTTATAAATACAGGGGGGAAAGGGAACAAGGAGCATTTGGGGGGGATGTCATTCGTTCCCCACTGTTGCAAAAACATTTCACCACCGGTCTGCTCCTCAGCAAGCGGAAGGTCACTCACTGCACACAGGACAATGCAATGCGGGATCTAAGAGATGCTGTAGGCACTGCCCACAGACAAGCACGCTCCGGTTAGCAGAGTTCAGCAGCAACACCGCTGTTATCTTCATTCACAGCAGCATCTCGCTTTTTCAGACCTGGCCTGCTTCCCCTGCAGCTGGCGCTGGCACTTCAAACCACCACAAAGAGAGGTGACAAGCATTTCAAATTTCACAAACATCGGAGTCCACAGAAATCGAGCGCTGTGTGCTGCACAACTCAGAAGTTCTGTCTCCTCTTTTTCTTCTTTGAAGGACTGATTAATATTGGCATTAATCCACGATTACTAGCACAAGGGCCAGATCCTAGGTTCGTCCATTCATATTTAAACCATGTGCTGAAGCACTGAAGACAGTTCTTTTTCCTCCCATTCCTTCATGTCTAGGTTAGATAATTTACAAGGTGCAGATGAGTTTCTTCAAATGCAAGAGACGCTGAATGATTTTTCTTCATTAAAAGTTTCTCCAGATCTGAGGTTCCAATTATCTTCTCCAAATAAAGAAGTAAACTAAAAAGCAAGGGAGGAGGGGGGAGAGAGAGAAAAAACTTAAAAGGGTTTCCTGAGACAATGTACCATAACATTTTTGTTAGATATCAAAGAAAATCTAAAAGCTATGCTCAGGATACAATCCAGTTGATGGGCTTCCCCACTCCCTGACCACCTCAGTGTTCGCCAGCTACTGATATGAGAGTCAGTCAAGACCTAATTATTTAGGGTCAGATTCTGCCTTCACTGTTCTACTACCCTTACTCTGCAAACCATCCTCCTGACCCCAGAAAGACTATTAAATTTTCTGGCTACAAATTCAGTCATTTGAAACCTAAATCAAATTGGCCTAATACAGTTCAATATGATGGGCTCTGCATCCTGCGTACTTCAGCATTTCTAGGTTCCCCCAAAATCTTAAAGTTTTGTGGAACTGTTTTAAGCAAATGTAACTTTGTACATTTCTCTTCCATCAAAACTCACATTAACACTTAGTGCAAAGAGTTTTTACTATCCCCAGGCCAAGGCAAACCTAGTTGGAGTAAAGCAGAAGGGGAGGCGAAGGAGTCTCGCCCCAATGCCTCTGTTCACCATGAAGAATTCCAAATTCATTTTATTCACAATATAGAAAGGGTCATATAATCCCCTTATTTAAAACATATCTGCTATTCATTAGAACAGAAGTCTGCCTCATTTCTTTTCACACAGCAACGCACCATGCATCAATAATTCCATCCTAGAGCCCTTTTAAAATACTGATTATTCAATGAGAAATTCAGCCTTTGGATGCTGAGATTGTGCTTTGCTTTTTCACTATGAAGCTGTATTAAAACACCAGCTTCCAAACAGCCCATCACAGTAATTTCTAGCAGCACTGCTAGAATTTTAGGAGGCAAATCCTACATCACTACAATGCAAAGGAGCTCCAGTGAACACTCAGTTCATTTGAGCACAGACATCACAGCTTGAGATGTAGTAAGAACAACAGGGAACACTCACAGGAAACACCACAGACTACATTACAGCCCAGAGCATCAAGCTTCTTTGCAGCTGTGGGCTTGAAATACACTATCTTCATGATGTCGAAACAAAGGTCTCAAAATCCCCAAGTTACGCAAAAGCCCCAAGTTTGAGAAACAGGACAAAGCAGACTGAAGTATTCCTGAAAGCTGACAGACTGGGGCCACACAGCGCCAGGAAAACAGAGGGTAATCAAAAGTAATTTCCTTTTTGTCCCTGCCTGAGCATTGGAGAGATTTCAGTATACGGCTGCGTTCAGCCAGTTATCTTGTCTGTTAGTGAAGCAAAAATAATGGCTTTTAACAAGACACTGCAAAGCAAAGGAAAGCATTTTGCACCGTTATACGAGGACTCTTTTTCAAAATAAAACACTCCCTCTCATGTACTGTAAACTTCAGAACAATTAAGTCAGTTTCAGAAGAATAAGTCAATATTTTTCTTGGCACAGACACAAGTCAGGGCATTCAATACTGCTGCTTTGATAACACGGAGAACTGCTTGAAAGTCAGTAATAACAGAAATTAACTGAAGATGTCAAGTCACTGTTCCCAGCTAAGGGGGAAGCCATGGTGCAGAAATCAGGGCTTCCATCTGCTGGCTGTTGGGGGGTGCGATTCCTCCCAGCACCCAGGATGTGGTTAAGTCTCCAGGGTTTGCTCGGCTTTCCCAATAGTAAGTTTGGTAAAAACAAAGCAAGGAGAGGAAAGAGGGCAGTGTTTAAGACAACCAACCACCTGAGACAAAAGCAGCCAATGGCACAACGCAGCCCGATTTCACACTAGATTTCCATGCTGACCTGCTGCTTTGCACAGGCCCAACCTCCTATTCTTTAGTCAGCCAAAGCTCCGAGTTGGCTGAAAGACAACTACATGCTGAATCCTCAGTGTACCACAGAGAAAGGAATTTCACGATTACCCTACATTTCTAGGTATATACTTCTGTCTACCCTGCTTCAAAGACATTTGTGTTCCCTGTTTACTGCAAGAGTCCGGCAAATGTCTCCAATTATGATCTGTCTCAACAGAAGTACCTAGGGAAGTCTTTATACACAAGCTGTTCTTCCTGTTTTCTGGAAAACCTCCATCAGTCTTGATTTCTACGTAACTTAAATGTAAAGGCAAAGCTCATTTAATTACAGCAACTGTATTTATTTGATTTGTTCCTTCTAACCTGCCTGCCTAACTTAATGGTTACACTACACACTGTTCAAAAAGAAACTCCCACTCACAGGCATAGATTATTTAGGATTAAGCATGCCTGTATATTTGTTTGGTTGGCTGGTGGTAACTGTGACTGTGTACTGAAGTCTCAAGGGCGGAGCAGTGGAGAAGGGCAACACAACACCAAAGGGAGTCTGCCAGATTTGTTGCAAAATACACAGACTAATAGTTCTGGAAAATTTCTGTGACTTATTTTAAGTGATGTAACTCTAGAAAAAGATAAAAATTAGGAAAAACTAGTAATAGTTGAATTAACAGTTGGTAGTTAGCATGAAAAAATGGATTTGAAAAATAATTCTTGTAGGTACCTGGAGTTTTTAGTGGGTTTCTTCACAAACCTTTTCTCCCCTCCTCCTAGAAATCAGAAATTCACAACAACCAAAACAACAAAGGCCAAATTCAGACTTGCTTGTGAGAAGATACAATGCTGAAGTTGCACCTGGTAAGAGCTTGGCCCATTATGTATAATTAAATTGTTTTGGAACAGTATGTGCTATAGACTGGTAATTATTTCAGCCAGCAATATTAATTATATGTCTTCCCAACACTATATCTAGTCCAACATATATATGTTCATAACTATTTTGAAAAATCTGTACTTTGAAGGGTATCAGTGGAGCAAATGCAACCTTAGTCTGTGCAGGTGCAACCATGCTGTCTAGGCGAGATGGAAAACTAGGGCTGCAGTGCCTGTAAAACACCTTTCATAAGGCAGCAAGTTTCCCCAAAAGCTGTCTGCACAGTGCAAGCACGCTGTCCACCTGGAAATTCAAGTGAATTCACTATCAAGCTTCAGATCAGAATTTACAGTATCTTTTCCGGGCACTGTTACTGGATATATGGAGTGACCTGGCCTCTGCCATCACGAAAACAGCACTGAACCCTTGTTTAGCATGCATTTAGTATCTAAACACAGAGCAGGATTAAATTTCCAAATTATCTGCACTTCCACACAAACGAAGGGCTGAGCAAATAAAACTTCAACATCCACATCACGCAGAAGAAGGCCCCCTAAGAGAACCAGCTGCAAGATACATGGCTAACCACTTCCAGCATCTGACTTTGTCACAGACACGGTGCCTGGCTTACAACTGCCCGTGAATACACGACTCTCAGTTGCTCCAGCTGCAAAAGTGGATTGCATATACTCACCCTCCTCAGAGCTGCTGCTGAAAAGCTTTTGTGAAAAGCATTATTACAGCGGAATTCAAACGTGCTATTTCTTACCTGATAATTTGTAATTGCAACATGCACACAATTATGAGGGGAGGTGCTTCCATGTGCTGACAAATGCCGTGGGAATTAACGAATAGGGCACAGTTGTTATGCTGTTCCACACATCTAATGTGGGATCGTAGCAGTCCAACGTTTTGCACCTCTGAATGCCAAAGTATCCTCCGACCACATACAATTTGTTGCCAGATGCCACTGCGTGGCAGCTCATTCGCTTGGCTGTCACATCTCCCACCTTAGTCCACTGGTATGTCTCACTGTTGAATTTATAAGCGGAGCACGCAGAGAATTCGGTATCTCCGCCCATAATAAAAATCTGGTTACCCAGAACAGCTGCGGCTGTGTAGCGCCAGGGCTGGGGGCAGGTGGCTGGTACCGTCCATCTGTTTTCACACTGGTCATAGCACTGAACTTTGGGCAGCTTGTCATGGCTGACGCTGGTACCTCCAAAGGCAAACAGCTTAAGCTTCGCGCTGACCACAGCTGCGTTGCTTACTCCCTCTCGCAATGGGGCAACCATGGTCCATTTGTTGGTCACGGGGTCATACTGTTCTACTTGCTTTAAGGATACTGAAGGGGAAGCTGGCAGGCAACCAGTTGCTGCGGTGTGTCCTCCTACAACATACAAACAGTGCTTGAGTTCAGCAGAGCCATGCCCGAACCTAGCTACCAGCATGGGAGCAGCCTTCGACCACTCCTCGTGAAGGGTGTCATACACCCACACGTCTTTGGAGACTCCATTTTCTGACCCTCGTCCCCCAGTGATGTACACTTTGCAGCCGATGGCACAAGCGCTGAACTCTTTCCGTGGACTCGGTATGTCAGCCTTTGGAATGATCTCCTTTGCCTTTTGGTCCACCAGGTACAGCTTGTCACACATAAAGGTTTGGCCACCCAAAAGAAAAAGTGAATGGCCAGTTTTACGGGGCCTGGCACACAAACTAGTGACCACTCCATCATTCTGCAAGATCTTTAACTTGCATCTTATCGACTCTTCTACGATCTCTTTGCTCTTCCTTTGCTTGGTGATCAGTTCTTCCATGGCCACATTCTCCATAAGGTATATGGCTGGCAAGAGGGCCAGTCTCACCGTCTGCAATAGCTCAGGCAGGTAACAGTGACGCTTACTCAGGTCATAGTTGATCCAGTTGATAGCCGATTCATACACCAGCCTTTCGTCTTCAGTTTCCAGTTCTTCACTGGAAAGGAGCTGCACGACCATGTCTTTCGGCAGCTGGAGGAAGTCTTCGCTTTTACTGATACTCTGGAAGTTGCTAAGACACATCCTCCAAGAGAGTTCATACAGCTTCGTGCACTGGTGAGCATCCGACAGCAGCAGCATGCCAAGACAGTTGGTGGGATGAAGGTTCTTCTCCAGAAATTCTGCACAAGCATCCCGAATGTCCTGAAACTCCAGCATGTCACCGGCCTCCAGCAGCGACTCTGCATTCTCCTCATTGATGATAACCCTGGAGGAATACGCATAGTCCAGAAGAAGCTCCAAGACTTCTGGGTGAATCGAATTATGAAAGTTGACTTCACTGTCCTGGCTCTCCTTCAGTCCTCCACTGAACATCGCTTCGAAATAGCGGCTACAAGCAGCTAGAACGGCTCTGTGGCAGGGGAACGACCTGTTCCCAGCATGGAGAAGTACATCTGTAAAGAGACGCTGCTGACGCAGAAGGTTCAGGTGAGTAAGGACACTATCAGCATAGGATGACTTATGGAACAAGTATATGTTTATGGAGCCAGTACTGGCCCTAGATTTGCGATTTTCATGCATGGTGACTGACATTTTCTTTCACACCTATAAACAAAGAAAAAAAAAGTCAGATTGATGAGACAGACAAATTCATTATTACTTCTACATGTCACAAAGTGTATCTATTATTCGCTATAGGATGAGAAAAAAAGCCTTAATTTATAGATGAGTGGACAGAGAATTGCATCTACCTTTGGCACGTGTTTATTTTTTGTAAGATGAGTTTCATAAGTGACATACTCTAAATTCGTTGCCCAAGAGCAGGTTTATCTTGGGAAACCTGATCTCCAACTTTCATAGCAATGCAGTAAGCAAGTGAGTAAGAGGAGAAAGGAAAGGAACCAGGACTGATTTTCTCACCCTTCCCCAACCTAGACCAGCTGATTCATTACATATGTACACATGCACATGCTTGAAACATTCTCCTGTACTGAATCATAGCAGGAAGAGCTACCAGACAGAATATCTAAAGAATGTCAAAAGCTGCACGGGAGCAAAAACCTACTAATCCCATTAGGAAGCTTCCCTTTGGTGTTCCATATGCAACACCACAGAATGAAAAAAAGGGAACTTTAAAACAAAAACCTAGCAACAATCATAAATTCACACATACGAAATCTTTTAAAGATTATGATAAGAGAATTTTAGAGATTACATGCTGAAGTCTGCCAGCGGCCCCCTGTTACAGTGACACAGCATATACACAGGCAGTGTCAGCAGAAAAATGTTTTTTGACCACCAACTGAAGTCACCAAGGCACCACCTCTGAAGCTATCTCGAGAGCCAGGCACTCAGAGCACAAGCCACCAGTTCGTTTTGAGGTTTGGAGGGGACGTAAAACACAAGACATATCCTATCCAGCCCTATTCCATACACAATGCTTTTCAGCTCCTGTTAGGTGGTGAATGTTACTGTTATCTGCCACGACATGCAGGTCTACTGCAGCGAGTTTCCACATTTAATTAAGAGTCAAGCCAAAACAGTATGGAGTACAGGGAAAACAATGAACATTGGCAGCCATATAAAGCTAATGGCCAAAAAGCCACAGTGAGAGTAATAGCAGACAAGCATATATAGCCCAGTGCAAGCTGTGCTTGTGACCTCTACTGTAATAATCTAGCTCCAAACTGCAGAGAAAGCTTGGAGAAAGAAGAGAACCAAGCTTCCCTAATTACTATGATATTCGCATGCCCAGAGTTCCTTTTACTGTACCTTCAAATAAGGAACAGGGCAAAAGCGTACCTGGGAAGCACCCAGTCCTCAAATTCAGAGCATGACCTGGGGCCACTTGTGCAGGTTTTTAATGTGGATATACTTCCCTCTCTCAGACACAAACATTTTCATATTACTAAGCATGTTGAAGCAGTACAGAACTGCACAACTCTATTCCCACATTTCAAGCTTCAAGATGACACAAGAGCTTTATGAGCTTTAAAAAAAAAAAAATAAAGGCATTTTAAAATAAATACATGCATTTGTCTAAATTCACAAGACCAGAACCTTCAACAAAATCAAAACCATATGGGATTAATTTGGACAGCGGACTCCATTTCAGAACAACCAATTTGTGTACATGGAATATACAACACCTGCAGATTAACTGCAGCATAAACCAGCACCATCCTCCGTGCTAGCCGTGCTAATGTACAGAATAATTGATTCGTCACATCAAACAGCAAGTTTGTGATATACCTTTCCCTTTAGTCACAGAAAAAAAGCCCCTCAAACCAACATCAATTAAGGAACAAAGAGACACCTCACTGTAAAAGCACCACAGCCCGTTTCCTTTAATCTGGAACACGACTTCCTGATGAAATTTAACTGGGATTGAAAAGAACAAGCAACACAGCTCAGCATACAATGCCCAATGCAAAATCCTCCAAAACAGAGAGGAATCCTTCCTGTCAGAGCCACAGGGCAGAGCATCCGTCTCACTCCACCATGCAAAAGTTTGGAAAGTTATTTTGCCAATGCTCCTCAGACCAAGCTATTACATGCACTAACACCAAGCACAGAACAACTTAAGGAGGCTCGTACGTCTCTTCACAACACAAACCATTTTACAAGGAAAATTAAATTACCTTTAATGCAATTGTATTGTCTGGCAAATAAAGACTCAGATGGCATTCAAGGACCCTGAACACTAATCTCAGACTAAAATTACCTACTTAATCTATAGCCAAAAAGATTATACTGGCCATATACAGGTTGAAACCTGCTGGAACTGCAGGATTACAGAAAGGGTCACGGCTTGAAATACTAGCACATAAAAAGTCTGGAGACACAGACGAGAAGGTGGACCCTTTAGTGGCAAAACACCCCCTGAAAAATTTTAACATTTTTCCAGGCACTTTATTTTAAATGCTATTATGATGCAGTGCAAAGCATTCACTGGATCTCTACAGACTGGTCTTCCTCACACTGAGGACCTGCTCCTGCAAGGTCTCCTTGCCAGGGAGCAGGACGGGAGCTAAACATCCATTGATCAGAGACAATACAGTGACCAGGAGATGAAGATGCTCATTGCCCCCCTGCTCTCCACTCCAGTTAAGTGGACGTGTAGACACCACAGTCTAGGCAGGTCAGGATCTCTACAGAAACACAGTTCCTCTCCTTCTCCCCCCCGACAGAGGGAGAATTCAGAGTACACTGAAAACTTTCTTTCATCACGCACACAGAGCTCAGAAATAGGCACGTAAAGTTCACATCCGAGGCTGCAGGCACGGGCGTCCAGATCTTTCAGGCAGCTCTGTACTCCTGTGAGCACCACTTGTTCAGCATCACTCAGAATGAGCCCATAACCGCAACAAAAATCAAGGCAAACATAAAAAAACCCACCCTGCAATGATGCCTACACTGGATGCTCGTGAGCTACAAACCATACGCAGAGGGCAGGAACAGATCACCGCGTGTTACCCAAGCCCACCCACAGCCACAGCAAAGAACACAGCAGTCAAAAAAAGTAAAAAAAATTTCTAGGAGCCACTCTCAAACAGCTCCTCAATAAGGCACTCGGCATTTCACCCCACTAAAATGGAAGACTTGGGTCTTTCAGTGAGCAATGACATTTCTCACCAAGCCCTTGCAGATCTCACTTCTGCTGGTCTTCAAGCGTTTCCGTAACTCTGCCTTTATCACCACAATGTCATCTATTGAGGAGAATTCGAAGTATGCCAATTCACGTTTAAGATAAGCTAACGTATTTCCCCAAACAGAACAAAGATACATATCTATCGGTATCTTTTTCCTCCGCTGCGGTTGCCGAGATGATGAGTTCACACATGGACTAGTGGAACAAACACCCTTACAAGCAATTATCATAATTTACCAATAGGCAGCATTTCTGTAAACGCGTCCTTCTGCAGTTTCTGACAATTAGCTCAGTCCAGAATCTCACAAGGATATTAAAAATGTATAAATGACATCTCCGATTTCTCCGTTTGGTGTCGGAAATCGTGCAAGCCTCAAATACTTCAGCAGAGGCAATTTACAGTCAGGGAGCAAGTGTTCATCTTGGAATAACATGAGTCAACTCCCTTCAGGCATTTTTTTTCCCCTTAGAAATAACAATATTTGTATGTAAAAGACAAGAAGCGGTCAGTAAATTAGAGATACAGATTTTTATCTGGGAACAGAGGTTGAACCAAGACTTTGATTTATAATTACGCTTCGGCGGGCTACTTGTCACAGCAGCCCGGCAGCAGACACCGCTCGGAGACTCGACACCAGGTTCTACCTCCCAAGAGCCCCGCAGCACGCAGCTCTCGGCCCAAACCAGACGAAAAACCTGAAGCGTTTTCAAACCGCCGGCGGCGGCACGCCCCCGAGGCGAGCTCCTCCGAACGTGGCCCCGCAACGGCACGGCGGGGGG